GTCTGATATACTTTGGGCATGTTGCAAGGAGGGACTGGTCCTTGGAGAGGGACATCATGTTTGGGAGAGTGGAGGGGCAGTGCAGGAGAGCACAACCCTGAAGATGGATCGATTCTGTGAGTGGAGTGGTGGGAATGAGTGTGTTTGAGACAGCGAGGTTGGCACAGGCTAGAACGGTGTTTAGGGCTCTTGTACATAGGGTCACTATGAGTCGCTAATGACTAGATGGCACATAACAACAACAACACAACACTTTTCCAAGATATAGATATATAGATATAGATGATATAGATATAGATAGATATATAGATAAAGATATAGATATACACACACACATACATATATAGCACTCTTATGGCTTAGGAGTAAGGAATTGCACTGCCAACACAAAGGCACATAGTTTGCATCCACTAACTGCTCTATGGGAACCAGATGGATAATCACTTCCTATGCAATTTACCGACACACCAAAGGGTCAACTAATGGATCAGTTCTGACTGTATGTCCCAACTAAACATATATATACATAGATAGATACATACATACATACATATATACATACATGTGTATATGTATATCTATATATCTATCTGTCTATATCTATCTATCTATCTATCTAATCTATCAATCTATATATATCTTCTATGTAGATATGTTCTCTGGAGAGGTCCATTACAACAGACTTTCCCAGTGCAATTTGTTTTTTATTTCCTGGCTGCTGGTACCAAGACAACATGTAGATATATCCATGGGACCTATGTAGATGTATGCTTATGTATATACAGAGCTAGAGAACACTGCATGGTTCAAAATCAAGAAAAAGGTATGTCACAGATGTATCCTTTCCTCATATATTTCAGTCTATATGCTGAACAGATCATTTGGGAAGCTGGACTTTATGAAGAAGAATGTGACATCAGGATTGAAGGAGACTTATTAATAACTTGTGTTATGAAGAAAACACAACCTTGAGTGTGTCAGAGATTTGAGGATAGCACAGGATAGGAAAAGGTTCAGATCACTTGTTCACAGGATCACTATGAGTCATACTCAGTAGCACCTAAAAACAACAACAAGGTGTTAAGAAACAATGATGTAAGTTTAAAAGTAACATGCAACTGATTCAATTCATGCTATTTTTAGTTACTTGCTATGCATCTGAAAGTTGGACAGTGACTAAGAATGATAAAAGAAAAGTTGATGTTTTGAGTGTGGTCTTGAATAAGAGTACTGAATATCCCTTGCTGAT